TCTGCAGTAGGTGATATATATATATATATATATATACAATTTAATCGAATTGCTTGTTTCAGACTTGTGAATATCGCTCGTTGGCCACGTCCTATGTGTACACAATGAACATGAAATGAGGACCGTTTCGAGATTATTCAAGCATCCTGTACCGTTGACAGTATCCATCGCCAATCAATTTTGATTAGCTTTTCTATAGCTTTTTTAAGCTTTTCATGTTCTGATTAATTGTGTACAGTGCAGAGTCAATAGTTCTCAGTTGTGTTCGTGTTTGTGCTAGCTGGTGAAGGCGCCACAGCGTCCTACCCAATCAGATCTAAACAAATAAAAAACATCGACTGATTATCCAAATTCACATAGGTATTTGAGGGGGGTGGGGGGGGGAAGTTCGATCCATCACAACCAATGCTGCTGTAACTGGGACCAACAATCGCATGACGCATCTGATTGCTCACGTCACATGAACTCGACGTGATCTGACAAAGTGAAAGCGAGAGAGCCAGGGTGAGCGAACAGGTAAAGTAGGCTGTTGCACAAGTTCTTCTCAATCACGGATGTGATCTGTTCATCGAATTCGTGTGCCAACTGATACTGCTCCGATCCGATAGTGGAAAACGATTTGAATTATTGCCATGTTCATTGGCAGATACTGTAAAATATTAGGTTCATTTAATTCCTTGCATCAGTTTTCTTGAAGCATCAGATGCAAAAGCTTCTATCCATAAGAGGATCAATAACTGACCACTACGTGTCAAGCCGTTTATCCATAACGATCATAATTCAAACCAATGAAGTTTTCAAGATACCACGCAACTATCGAAGCGTCCAGACTGTTGTAATAACACACGTATGCTGTTTATTTGCAATCTGGTGTGCGTTCTACATGCTTTTCGAACACCTATATTTACACATAAACCCTTGTTCTCATCGTTTTTCCATTGAGCAACCATTGTTGGGAAATATTCAAACATTCTTACGTAAAAGTTGGCCAGCTGGATGTCTTCAGTCGGCTTTACAATGAATGTTGTTATTTTTTTCGTTTCAATTAACATTCAGGATCACAATGTACAACCTTACTGTTGAAATTATGATATAAAATTAGAGATGTTTTAAAGAGTTTTAATTCACGCCGAAATTGAACACGAATATGAAAAAAACACAACCCCCTCCGGAGGAAATAGTTTCCAGTGATTACATCGGACACATACCTATTACATGAGGTTTCAAATGTACCGAAATCTCACTGTTGATCTTGTCGATCCGGACAAAACAGGTTTGAAAATAAGACTTCCAGCTCGGAAAAACCCTTTAACACCAGTTTAAATTGTCCACGTTCGAACACTGCTGTCTTGAGCGCATTGGACAAGTTTGGTGGGGAAATTGGACAAGCTGAGTAGCGGTCAGATATACAGAGTTCTATTTAGTCACGGTTACCCATTAGAGCGAGTTTTTGCCACCATGGAATGCGATAGTTGGTGCGTGAGTTACATATGTCACCAAACAGATGGCCCTCGTGTGTATTGTATTGTAATGTGTTTTATTGAAGCTTTAGCGAGTTAAATATAACCTGTGATGTTTACCGACAAGCATAATAGGGTGGCCAAACTAAGATCTAGTATACGGGTGTGAAAACCTCGATTAGACTACTCGTTGTTGGTGACCTCGGGGTCACCGTAACCGATGTTTAGACGGTTTGTGTGATATGGCTGTCACTGCATTGGATTCTGGTTGATATAAAACCAGACAACCTTGATAAAAAATGGTGTTGAACATACTTGTTTGGGATTGACCTCGAGGTTTTTAATACTCGTTGTTTTGATTATTGTTAGATTTAATAAATTAGAACACAAATATTTTATTTCTGTTCTCCGTTGTTGCACCCTAGCCCATGGATTAACTATTTGTGAATCTGAAAAGATCAGTGTTATCAGTGTGACCTCGTAGCTCAGCTGGTAGAGCGTGTGCTGTACAAAAGCGTAGGCGGTGTCCATGCGTGAGTTCGAATTCCACCGAGGCTACTGAACTTTTCACAATCCACATACAAAAATCAAATTNCAACCCCCCCCCCCCCCTAGTGTGAAGCTAATTTCTTATTGTCGTAGAAGGCGACGCTTTGGTATTAGAATACTCAAATGACTGTTTAGGAACTATGCCCTGCATCCTCCGATAAAAGTTCGATTCCAGTTGATCAACCGCTTTAAACCTTTGTCTTACAGAAGACTCGGTTGGCATTTGCTAACTTGCGACATCTGTGGCGCCGTTGCGAAATCCGGTTGTCTGTGAAGGGTCGATTGTATGCTGCAGCAGTTCGGTCAGTGCTGCTTTACGCTGCCGAGACTTGGTCGTTACGAGAACAGAATAAAGAGAGATTGTTGGTGTTCGAACACCGCTGTCTTCAACGCATTACATAGGTCTAGTGGGGAAACCGGACAAGCAACGCTCAGGTTAGTTATAGAGTTTTAGGTAATCGCAGTAGTTCACTGAAACAAGTGGCCGACCTCCATAGACTACGGTGGTTGTAATATATGTTGCACATGTCACCTAATAGGTTGCCAAGAGGCACGATATTTACAGAGGCAGGGAGTGGTTGGAAAAATGTCGATGGCCGTCAAACTACTGCATGGCATAAGGATATGTAAATCCTAACCAGAAGACTGGTAAACATAGGTACCGTTATGCTCCCTGGATGGGTATCCCGAGACCACGGTAACCAGTGGTTAAAGACACTGAGTGTTACGGCTGGGTATCGCAAACAGTTGCACTCGTGCATCCACTCATTATTCTTACAAACCCAGTTTGTATGAATACTCTATCTTCAGTTTGACTTTACCCTCAACGTTCCAACCTTCATTCTGCTCTTGTATCTAAATGGGCAGCCGAAAGACAGAAACCAAAACCGACGCATGAAAAAGCATGGTTAATGGTAGTGAAAAATGAAACCTTTGTCAGCGATGTTCATCCCGCAACATTGGTAAATGAATCCACGATAGAACCACCGTTTTCTCCCAGCTTCATTCATATGCTTTTATTAGAGCCAAACACAGGATACCCACACATTGTTGATAACCCTTTACTCTGGTTGTAGATGGCTCACCTAACTTCCATTACTTCCACTTAACTTTCCCATTTCATTATGCACCGAGCAGCCAAATATTAGCTAAC